AAATTTATAACCCAAATGAAAAGAAGTTTTTGGCACTAGGGGTTTACAAACGGAGGAGCTGTAACTCCTAATTAAACTAAAATGAGAGGATGCTCACGGCAAAGACATCCATTTGAAACCGTGAGCTAAGATCGAACTCCAGCAACTGCCAATGACCCACTGTCAGACACTAACCGCAAAATCAGTTTGCCACTGAACCCCCAACATGACCTATCAAACTAACAAAAGCCTACTAAAGCAAACACAAGAAAACTAACAGGCAACAAGAAGAAGAAGCTAAATTATCATAATTACAAAAAAGAAGACACCTAACAAGACAGGGAAGAAAATTCGGACCAATCCTTAGATGCTAAATTGACTGTGGGAGCCTCTGATCTCCAAGTGTTTCCAAATATCCAAATATGTCTCGTTTTCCACATCCATCAGAGCAAATAACATGTTTGCATTCGGTCCTCAGCTATTGGGGTGTGGTTGATGGTGAAGAGTTTGAACCACCAGTGTTTGAAGCAGGTGGTTCCTTGTTGCAGCCCCTCCCAAGAGAATGGTGCTATTTTCCAGATCAGCTGAGCTCTGCTACAAGTAAAGGATAAGATGCTCTTGNAAAGGCAAATAAAAAAAGAAAAAATAGGGGGAAAAGGAGAGGTGAAAGAGAGAAAATAGTCAAAAAAAAAAAAACTTATCAGTTTTTGTCTCAGTTATTTGAGAAGACCACTTGCGAGGTAACAAAATCCCTTTATATTTATTTGGTTTACAAGCTTTTAACTTTGGCTTAAGTTTTACCGGTTGCAACAGCTAGCGTGAAACGAGTATTTTTCGCAATGAATATTATTAAAGATAGATTGAGCAATCGAATGAGTGATGATTGGTTAAATTATAGACTAGTAGTTTATGTAGAAAGTGAAACCTTCTTGAAAATTGATAATGATGTTATTATCGAGCGATATCAGACCATGAAAACTCGTAAAAACGACTTTGAAGGTATGTCTTTGTATTTGCACTTTTCTCTATGATATTTTATATCTTTTATTAAATAATTAGACCCCCCTTCATTATATTTGCTAGATCCGCCCCTGAGTATCGAGAGCAACTCCTTTGGAGTGAAGATTAGTCAGAACTGGTAAAATATTGATAAGGCATTCCAAATGTAGTGCCTCAGTTTCCCTTTCACTCTCAGAGCCCAGGTTCTTCTGGCAGTCCTCATCTCTGCATGATTGGTACTGGGCCCTGTTATGTCCATATTTCGCCAATGGTCTTCAATAAGTCTTGAATAGGTTGAGTGCCACTGTGAATTTCCCTTTAGAGCATCTCCAGTACTCTACCATTGACATTGAAAAATTGATGCCACATGGCATAATATAATTGGTACTCTAATGGATGTCAAATGAATGTACTTGACATTGACGTAAAATTTGGAACCAACTTCAATGCACTTATTTTAGACTCAATGTCTTGACTATTTAAAATTAAATTTAACTAATAAATGGTTTAATGTCTCAACTAATATTTATTTAGTTTACCGATAACCAACAAAGACCCATTATTTAATGATTTGACACGTGTTCATCAGTTGTGACTCATTTTTTTATTACAAACAATTAAAATTATGAGACATTTGTACTTGACAGGTATTTTTATAAAATTTTATTTTATTTTTTATTAAATATTTTAGTTTAAATTATTTATCTAATTTTCAAATTTATACTTTACAAATTAAAATAATTATAAGTGTTCGTATGCTTCTTGTCTGAATTTTATAAAATTTTTTATCTTAAATTTTGTACATAAAATATAAATCTAATAGTAAAAAACATGCGCAATGAATAACACACAAACATTCTTCATAATAAATAAATAAATAACAACATGTTTGTAGAATATTTTTATTTTATTTTCTACAACAAAAAATTAAATCTAATAACAGTGAAATTAGATATAATATGTTTTAAAAACATGCGCGTAAATAAATAAATACATAACATCATGTTTGTAGAATATTTTTTGATTCATTTTCTACAAGTTGAAAAATCTAAAACATATGATCATGATTAAATTAATCGATTAAACAAATAGTATTATATATATGCAATATATGAAATAAATATTATTTTACATAATATAAAGAGTATGTCGTAAATACCTTTTTATTTATTAGTAATATCGCGATAACATAAAAATATGACTTAAATGTTAAATGGTAGGTAGTTAATTATTTTAGACTTATAAATTTATGTTCATAAAATATTTTGTAGGTAAATTCCTTTGAATTTTCTCGAGCCGTCTTCTCCCTCAATTGCCCGCGAAAACCCTCATATCTGTTGGCGCAATTTTTTTTCCACGTTTTCTTAAGATTTTGGCACGACCTGTTGAGTCACGCTGTTATGGAGACTTTCTACCTCCAGACAATGGGTGAGAAAGTGGTCACGCCACGTCAAAAAAATATTGGCCAAGACAGTGAGCATTGAAGTGAAAAAAATAAAGACATACTTATGCGACACATATTTTTTGGACTCAAAAGTCCCGCACTGGAGATGCTCTTAGAGTTGCATCCACACCTAAGAGAATCAGACCTGTGAGGATCCATTCATTCAATAATCAAAATGGCTGCAGATTCCTCTTCTATAAAACAATGCTCTATCAGCTGCTTGTTCCACCTTCTGTCTGTGTCATCCCAAAGATCACAAACCCAAAGTAGCTCTGAATTCCTAGGTAATTTCCCAGTGAGCTTAAGCCCAGGTAGATTTGGAATCCATGGATTCTCCAATATATTAATGGATCTCCCATCCTTGACTTGGAACCTATAACTCTTCAAGAAAAAATCTCTGACCTTCCACCAACTAGACCATAACCAAGAACTATTATGCTTCTTCTGAGCAGATTGGAGATTGCAGTGGGGAAAGTACTTCCCTTTCAAAAAATCTGCTAACCAAGAGATGGGGCTGTGATGTAATCCTCCACAGTTGCTTTAAAATTAGTGCCTTATTGAATATATGGAGGTCATGAAAGCCGATTCCACCCAACTCTTTAGGTAAGATAAGGTGTTTCCAGCTTTTCCAATGTATCCCCTTTGTGTTGTCCTTCTAATTAAACACCAGAAGTGTGTAAAGGTAGAAGACAACTTTTTCACCAATGTTTTTGATAAGAGAAAACAAGACATCGTGTAAGTGCGTAAGGCACTCAGAATTATCTTCAACATCACCTCTTTACCTGCATTAGAAAGAAACATGTTTGCCCAATTTGAAATTATTTTTATTGATGAATCAACCACATATGAGAAGGTAGGATTTTTTGATCTGCCTATACCTAGGGGAGGCCAAGGTATTTTGAGGATGTCTAGGGTTTAATTCCTAGTAAAATTGCAGATTTGGTGTTGGAGCGTTTAGGGGGTATTTTTACTAAAGTAAATTGATGATTTGAGAGGTTCACTTGCTAACCAGACAAATGTTGGTAATTTAAGAGGACTTGGATCAGAGTTAAGGCTTGTTGTGTATCTCCTTTGGTGAACAAAAGTGTGTCATCAGCAAAAAAGAGATGTGTAATGACAGGACAATTCTTTCTCAGTTTAATGCCATGCAGATTACCTTTAGTCTGTTCTGTTTTGATAAGGTGACAAAATTTTAGAAATTAGAATGAAAAGATAGGGTGACAACGGGTCAACCCTATCTGAGACCTCTTGAAGGTTTTAGGTAACTTGCAGCATCACCATTCACATTAAAAGAAAAGGATGAAGAAAAGATACAATGCATAATCCATCTAACAAACAAAGCATTAAAACCCATTTTCAACATAACAAGCCTCACACTGTCCTATTCCACCCTGTCAAATACCTTACACATGTCTAATTTAATAGCCATGTAATAAGTTTTCTCATACCTATGACAATTTAGGAAATGAAGCACTTCATTAGCAATAATAACATTGTCAAGAATTTGTCTATTGAGCACAAAGGCAGATTGGCATTCACTGATGCAATAAGGAAGGCAAATTTTCAGTCTATTGTCCAAGATTTTAAAAATGACTTTGTAAGTAACATTGCAAAGACTGATTGCCTGAATTGAGCAACCACAGTAGGAATAGCACATTTAGGGATCAATGTCATATGAGAATGATTGACACTATTCAGAATAACCCCAGATTTAAAACTTTGAGCGACTAAACAAAGATCATGACAGATGATATCCTAGAAGGAGTGAAAAAATCCAGAAGTCATACTATCTGGCCCAAGGGCCTTAAGAGGATTTATGCTGAACAAGGCTTCTTTTATTTCTTCAAAACTCACTTGTGTCACCAGCTCCTTATTGTAGTCCTCTGTGATGACTGGTGCCAGCTTGAAGAAATCTGTCTCCACTATGGCTCTCTTCTGATGTAAACAGCTGGGAGAAAAAATCTTCAACACAGTGATAAATGGCATCCTTGCTCTCACAAACTGTGTTGTCCTCTCGAACTAGTATCAAGATTTGGTTTTTCCTTTTTCTTTGTAAAGTTTGGGCATGAAAGAAATGAATGTTCTTATCCCCAAACTTCAACCAACTGACTCTTGATTTTTGCTCCCAGTATTGCTCTTCCTGTTTATAAGCTTACTCTAGCTCGTTTGAAATGCTATCCCAAGTGGCCCAATCCATTAAACCACCCAATTGTCTGAGCTGTGCAAAAATTCTATTGCACTATTCTATCTTTTTGGCATTTTCGGCTTTGAAAGTACTACTCCACTCTTATTGCTTTGATTTTTTACTGCAGGCAGAATAGTAGTGTGCCATCTTGTAGAGTATCCCAGGCTGATGATACTGTTTCTCGGACTCCTCTCTTTGAAGCCATCTTTTATCGAAGTGCAACCATTTTCTTGTATGAATATTACCTGGTTTGCAGTTGAGAAGTAATAGGCAGTGGTCTGAGGAGCTTCTGAACACGTTTTGCACTTTTGCCTCTAGATGAGTGGTGTGCCAATTTAGTGATGCTAATATGCTGTCCAGTTTTTCCTCTATGTATCCTTCATGCAGCCTGTTGTTTCCCCAAGTAAAGGGGTATCCTTGAAAACTGAGTTCCAACATTCCCATCATACAAATGAAATTGTTTAAAGTGGAACAAGATTGAAGACTTCTTAGGTTACCACCTCTTTTCTCATATGGGCTTGTTATATCGCTGAAGTCACCATTTAAAAACCAACAATTCCCCAATTTTGGCCGTTCTGAGATCAATCCCACTGCAAATCCGTTTCATGAGATTATGTGCTTGCATATAAGAAATCCCCATACCCCCAGCTCACCTTAGCATTATCCTCATCCTAATACTCAACTTCAATGCAAAAAGGTTTTTTAATTATTTGGAAAACTTGAACAGAGTCCCAAAGCAATAGTAACCCTCCACTCTTTCCAATAGGTTCTACTGAAACCCAACTGTCTTTCACTCCTAGATTTTTACAAACTGTAGAAATAAAATTATTTTTCTTTTTGGTTTCTGAAAGGAAGAAAAATTTGGGGTGATGGAGTCTCCATACCTCCTTGATCTGAGGAACTCTAAAGGGGCCACCTACACCTCTACAGTTGCACACCGCTACCTTCATTGAGATGGGTGGGGCCCATTAGGGTTGGCCTCTAACACCCCTTGAGAACTGAGTTTGGGTTTTTTTTAGGTTCTCAGCTTCAAATGTTAAGGTTACTAGAGCAACTCCCTTCTTCATCAAAGAGCCTATCTGTCTCTTGCCCCTTGTTGCCAGCTGCAAAGGGGTTTTCTCATCTTTAGTAACTGGTTGTTGTTGTCTCTTCCATCCTTTTCTAGGTCCCCTTTTACCCACTGGCTTGGTATGAGGTTGAGGGGGTTCATGGATGATTAAAGCTAGTTTAGAATGGGTTTGTATAGGTGTTGTGGTTTCAGTTTCCATAGCTAATGTTTCTTAAGCTAAGTTTGTATGTTGGTTGTGGGGACTGTTGTCTGTGTCGTGGATAGGTGTCTGTTCTGGGGTGAGAGAATTAATAGGGAGGGTGGGGATATGTGAAGATTCTGAGTGAGGAAGGGTGATTGGTGATTCTGGGTTCTTAGAAGGAATGATGTTGCTATGATTACTTGGTTTGCGAGAAGTTGTATGACTGGTAATATCTGTATTAGTGGTGGAGGGGTTGGAGGTGGGAGTGTGGAAAATGTCAGTTGCCTTTAACCAATCACCATAGAGTCCCTCCATCAGGTTGTCATGGCCAATATCAGAAGTTCTTTTTTCACAATTGCGATCAATATGTCCCGAGCGGCCGCAATAAAAGCAGAAGTTGACTAACCATTCATATTTGAAGTGCACTTTTACTTTAGTTCCTCCCATTTGAATGTTAGTGCAACGAAGCAAGGGTTGATTGATATCTATCGCAGCCAAAATTCTGATGCATTTCCCAGCAAGAGCTCCTCCATGTGGGACATTTACATCGAGAATCTTATTAAAAGCTTTTCCAATCTTCATCCCTACCTCAGCTGATATCCAATGGAGTGGAATATTTCATGCTTGAATCCACATTTCAATTTCTAAGAAAAAGAAGTGATCTGAGTGAATTCCTTCAGTCAAATTTTGAGGCTAAGAATATGGTTCTCAAATGTACAATTTCTTCATTTGCTCACTTTGGTTTTATCCTCTTTCTCGGAAAAGAAGAATTGGAAAAAAATCGGGTTTATTTCCCAACCTGACACTGGAGCTCGGATTTGCCACATTTGATTTATAGTGAGATTAGCCCTTTTCTGACCAATAATTTTACCAAAGAGACTACAAGAGCATTCGTCCGCGCTGTGTTGAATATCAGTTGATCAATTGGGAATACTCCGTTTTCCTTTTCTGGTAGTTGGAATTATTCGAGCTTTGCGGTGAGGTCGTCTTCCATTGGAAGGAGAAATGACACAAGCGAGAAAAAGAGCAAAGATTCCTGAAAAATAAGGAAAACGACAACCAGCAAAAATAACCCTAGAAACGATTGAACTAGGGACGGAATGGGTGCCAGCAGAAAAGATGTAAAAAAACAGGAGATAAAACCTCTAATGAAAGGGGGATTATACCTGATCGAGAGGGAATGCAGCCTCAGAAGAAAGATGAGCTCTCATCACAAGAAAATCGATCACGGAATTTACACTTATCTAGTTACACTTATCCTTTTGATAGACTTATATACTCTTATTCCATTTTTACATTTTATATGTATATGTCATATAGGAATTTTCACCACTCTCCACTCTCATTTCTTATCTCACGCCTTATAATTATACTTTCCAAATTAATTCCTCATATTTACCCAAAAATAGACAAGTTTATCTCATTCATTTAATTTATTTTTCTTCCCCTTTCACACGTCTCTCATTCCTCAATTTTTATTTTTCTTTTCATTTTTATCCTCTATGACATGTCCCTGCAAAACGAGGAGCATAGGGTGGATATGACCGTCGTTGAGGTACGATATATCCCAATATTTAAGAAAAATCGTAGTCCGAAGCCGCCGCTAGCGGAGTAGACCTGTCCAACATGGACGAGTCGCCGACAAGGAGAACGAAGAAGACCTAGGTATCACCCACATCAGTGAGCTCGAGGATTCGATGGAACAAATATGGTCGAGCCACATAGATTCTTCAGTGGCGGAATCTCAAGCAGGCACGACGATTCGAACAAAACCGATGTCGTTATTGTGACCAACTCTGATTTTCCGTCACTTGGGTAGAGTGGTTGAAATTTCTCAAAGAAAAACTGGTGTCGAAGATGGTGACGACGTTGTTGTCCCTCTCCTTGTCCATGGTCTCGTCGTGGCGGCGAACGACGACGTTTTACAATCATTGACAGTTGCAGTTTAGGAATTGAAGTTGTTTGTTGGATATTTTTATTGTTATTTTTTTCCTCTATTGTTTAATTACTATATATTGGTATTCCATTAATAAAATTTTAAAACGTTTATGAGTGTGATATGTGTTTATGCATTGTTTATTTAAAGTTTATTAATACTGAATTTAGTAGTTAATGCTTTTTATATATTCACTAGAACGTAGCACGTGCGATGCACGAGACACATATATTAAATGAGTCATTTCCACATACTGTCCGTCTAAGCCTAAAAAACAATAGCGTTGGATCATCTATTTTTGTACCTTTTTTAATCAACATTTTTTTTAACCAAAATATTAAATATGAGCACGTTAGAGCTAGCCTGTAAATTAATTAATATATTATCTTACTAACACATTTATATTAATTTAAATTTGATTTTAGTATATATTTTCTCCATGTTATAAGAGAATAACAGTTTTACTTATTTTTGTTCATCATATAATACTTAATTATTATTTTATTATAAATTTTGTTATCATATAATGTCTTTAATTTTTATATTGTAAAAGCAATATGTCTTCTTATTATTTTTATTTTATGTAATGAAAAATATTTAATGCACATTAATATTAGTTATTTATGTAATTAATTTAAATTACGTAAATAAATGTAAAATTAAATAATGCATAAATATTTTACAAAATATACAAATGAAAATATATTTTAATGATAAAAAAAGCATGATTGAAAATAATATACAAATATATTCTAAATAATAGTTAATATATTTCAATTTTATTTTTTGACCATTAGTAAAATAATTTAATGTATCTGATCATTATCTCTTAAATGGTAAATTATATTAGTTTGAAGAATTAATTTATTTTTTTATATATAATGAAATAAAGCGTAATAAAAAATTATATTGTCAAACATTAATTCACCAACTTGATTTCGCCCTATTAATTGGAAGAAAAAATTATATCTAATTAGGGCTTCTTAAGTAATGGACAAACTGTGGTCCAAGCCCACTCTATCAATTACTTAAATAATATTACGGCCCATTAACATAATATTATTGCACTCCATTTTTCTATCCCAAATTATATTTGAGACTCCAATAATAGTTACTCAAATTACCTCCCAACGTTTAAGATATAATGTCCATTAATTAATTCGATTACTGACAATCAAGAATTAATTAATATATTATATTACCAAAGCTAGCGCTTGTTCATCGCATTATTATTATGCCAGAACTTAATCCACCTGCAAGGTTTAGCATAACAATCCTTCACGAACTCACTTCGGGGACATCATCATACTAATACACATGGTGACCATAAATATCCTAACAGCACATCATACATACAACAATATTACCCAAGACAGTAAGACTATTGATCCAGCGAATTGAATATCACCAAAGTGAATCAACGTAATAAATAATGAATGTATATGTTTGTTTAATATCTTACGAGTTAAGAGAACGCAGTAATTAACTGAGGCCTAGTTCGTTTACAACGATCACTATAAAACGAACTTCTTCTCTCTGGGATCCGTTCAATACATAACTGTAGTAGTGCAACTAATCAGTCAAGACCAACTGTACCATTGACACAATAATCGTTCTGATGGGGTGTTCATTTCCATCTAGGTTGTGAACCAATAGTTCTTGTTTCGCAAGTCACTGATAGAACGATCTTCTGTTCACCCGATGATGACCCATTCTATCTAAGTGCAAAATAACATAACATAGAACTTGTTTAATCGAACATGATTCTTATTCATAAAGGGCAAAATTCTAATATCATCCAAAGCCAAGCTTTAATATACAACACTAACACTCATGACCCGAAGGTCATAGAGGTGGAGGTCGTGATTATGCCCTAACTATAGAGCACGACAGATAAGCAGTTAGATCGACTGAGTGACCTAAAGGACCTAAGAGCCGCACAGAGAGAGGGGAATGAATTTATTTAAGATGGAAAGTGTATCTTGCTAAGGAGTTTCGGGTTCCAAAGACGTGGTAAGTTACGAAATGAGATACGAGGAGATCTCTTTCCTAACTAGTACTCTCTTGGGCATCAATACACACTAGTATATAAGGGTGACCAGGTTCTTATTTTACATATGACGCTAACACGCACATTAAGTATACATATTCTCAGTTTTTCTCTCATGAACAACTAACTTGAGCGTCAGACGTTTTCGGGGTCTCGGCGTTTTGCAGGTCACCGGAGCTCGAAGTCGACATCCGTTCATGGTATTCCGTGCGATCATTATGTATTGAACAGAGGCAAATGCGATCAGTAACGGTCGGACGATAGTAAAAAGTCATAGCGAATCCCGATTTGGTTCAAGATAAATTTGCACATCACTCATGATCCTGGGATGCATGCGTCCGAACACTTCCAGTACTTTGGACTTTTCAAAAGTCAAAACCAGACTCCGAAGCTGAGACATGCGTGTATGCTTTCGAACACATGATCCTGGGATGCATGCGTGTATGATAATATATAATANACTATAAAAAAAAAAAAAAAGAACCACACCCTGAAGCTGATACATTGCACAAAGATATTTTCAGCAACGAACATCCTCATAATTTGTGGTAACATTCGCCATTTTTGCGTTTCACTTGAACTCTAACTGTCGATCTGGAGCCTAGCATAGAGGTCTCTGACGTAAAACGCAAGCTCTTCCCTAAAAAATCTAGGGTTTGGTCTGGCGGGGGGTTGTTAAATGGGGAGATGGGGAGACTCGTGGAAGCGGGCGATGATGGCAGATGGGGGGTGTTGGTGATGACATAGGCACAACGACGGAGATGGAAGGGCTGAACAGTGGCAGTACTTTTGTTGTATGTGTGTGTGTGTGTGCGTGTGAGAGAGAGAGAGAGAGAGAAGAATGAGAGGGTGGGGATGGATGGTTGTGGGATGGGGCCCACGGGCAGTGGGTGGGTGAGTGGGAGAAAATGTCCATCTTGCCCTTAACGTGAGTAAAATATTGGCTTATTTTCTGCCGTTGGATTATCCAATCTGACGGTTATGATGCATTCTTAATTTTTTCTTTTGACATTAAATTGAAAATCTCGAATGGTATCGTGAAGTCAAAATTAAGATGACAAGAAGGAGATTTCGATAAGTCAAAAGAAGTTTGCCTTTTATAATATTTATTTATTATTGTGTTTATTTAATTTTGGACTAATTAATTTAATTGTCATTATAGGAAAGATTGGAGATGAACGTGAATCATGAGACTTACCATGCATGAAGAGAGAAAGAAGAAAACCAGGATTACCTTGCATGGAAAGATAGAAGATGCACTCGCCTTATAAGAGATGTAGAAGCAAGCTTGAAGAGAAGTTTTCCTAAAAAACAAACGTACCATATACGAGGGAGCAAGATGCGGCATAATATTGGAAGAATCGAAACACAAGTTATTTTGGGAAGCAGCTGGAGAAATGAACCTACCAATGAAGTGCGGTATAAAGAGCCTTGCACACACGTTGTTACTTGCGACTTTTGATTACTGTTTGAGTGCGTGCAAGTTTGAGTGTGAGTTTCATACTCTGAGTTTGATTTTATTTTACTGAGTACTCAAATTCGAGAGTGTGTTCTCTAACTTTGAGTGTGAGATTTTCTTTGTAAAAACTGAAAGGTTCTTGGGATGAGTATAGAAAAAAAACACGGAGGGATTATGTGTAGATGTACAAGTCCATGAGGAGTGGCTGAAAAAGTAGTTAAGTGAGTGAATAAGTTGTAGGTTAAAAAGAGGGAGGCTTTGTTGTAATACCTAAATATATAGACCAAACACTTACTTGAATGAAATAGTTCCAAGGGAGAGTGAGATGCCGTTTAAGTGAATGTACATTGTTTACTACTTAGACGCAATTCTGTAACTCTCTCAAAATTTCAATTGGCACCAGAACGAATTTTAGTTATTTTAGACGAAGATCTTGTGGATCTATACATAGGCAACCATGAATCACGATGTCGAATCTATGTTTAGACCACCACAATTAGATGGCACAGACTACTCATACTGGAAATCAATGATGACCATCTTCTTGCGTTTACTTGGTAACGGTGCATGGGAAAGTGTAGAGAATGAATGAAAACATCCACTTATGAGGAAAGCACCAGACAATAGAACCCAATCTCAAACTAAAGAAGTACTTAAACCAAGGGAGGTGTGGACAAATATCGAAAGAATGCAAGAAGAGGCAAATTTTCGAGCCCTGTAGGCAATTTTGATGGTCGTTGATCAAACACGACACAAGATGATAGTTCAACGCACAATAGCCAAAGATGCATTGCGTATTTTAGAATGTCAGTTTGAAGGATCTAAAGCTGTCAAATTTTCCAGACTCTAGTGTGTGACGTTGGCCTTTGATATATCAAAATGGAGGAGGATGAAATCATTAACATGTACTACTCAAGGATCTGTGATCTAGTAAATTAAAGTGCAATGTTGGGGAAAGACATATATGAAGCACGTCAGGTTCAAAAGATCATGAGGACACTTACGGTTTCGTGAAAAGATCACGATTCTTGAAAGCTTTCAAAGAGTCAAACCAATTGATCTAGATCACCTCCTTGGGGATCTCAGAACGTTTGAGATAAACAAAAATAAAAAGAAAAAGAAACTATGACAAAGTCAAGAACAAATGTTTAGCCTTGAAGGTTGTCATTTCATCACATGCTGAAGATAGTGACGAGGAGGAAGGTCCATTGGAGGAAGATGTTGAATTCAAAGGACGCGTTTGCCTTGATTGCCAGGAATTATGGCAAAATGCGTCAAAAGTTGTACAAAAACAGCTTTGATGGAAAGAAGTTCAATAACACCAATAAGGGCCTTTCTCAAGACAAAGAACAAACATCTCTCACTCCAAGTCTGACAATCAAAAAATTGAGAAGGATCAATGCAGTGAGTGTAGAGATTTTGGGCACTTCCAATTTGAATGTGCTAATCTGAAAAAGAAGAATAAGTCTCTAATGACAACGTGGGATGACTGGATGAAGAAGAAACCGAGGAACCTACATCCCACACAAGCAACTTTGACAGTTCATTCTGGAGACAAGTTCATTTGCCCGACTTCTAGATTCAACCCCTAAGAATATGAGGAAGGTAAAATCTGATCTCAAACTTCTAACTATGATTCTTGTGATGACGCAGATCAGAACACGTGTGTTGATCCAGTGCACTTGATAGCCATGGAGAAGTGTATGCAGACTGCAATTGTGATGAAGAACTTCAACAGTCAAATCAAAAGTCTCAAAACTATGTTTCATCAAAGTGGATCCAATGAGGAACTAGAATAACTAAAGAAAGGATGTCCAGAAAATGAAAGAAATCAATGGGTCATTGAATAGTCAATTAACTTCCTCCTTCTCTCATAAAAGGAAGTCGAGCTTGATGCCGCAAAAGCTCGAAAAAAATTACCATTCTTGAGAATGCCCTAAAAGTGTCAAAACAGGCAGGTATTGAAAAAAATCAAGTCGTTGGATCTCCGAGGACTGAACTTTTTGCCTTGTAGAAAATGTTAGGGGACAAAGACAAGCAAGCGTCTACTCTTAAGTGTGAACTTCCACAGATGATGAACGGACATGTGAATATGAGAGGACACATCTCTCAATATGGGAAGAGCTTGACAGAGACAACAACTGAACTATAATGTACGTCTCAAACCTTGAACAAGTTAAACAAATGAACAACTGACTTGAACAAGCTACTCAATATTGGGGAGCCACATGGCGATCTTATTGGACTAGGATACACTGGAATCAAGGATAATAGTTCGAGTACCTCAAAAGTCGTACCTCAACATAAACATCTTGGACTTGGCTTTACCAAGAAAACAAGTATTGGAGGTACTTGTTCTACTGGTTTGCCGTTTTCTTGTTGTTTAAAGTGCTACTACAATAAGCATGAAACAAGATTCGCCATTTTCTTGTCGTTTGAAGTGCTACTATAAGGAAGAGACCGTTGTAACTTAGAGAGATATTTATATCGGCTAGTAACGTATCGAGGCAATTCATATTAAAGATATATATAGAGTTGAACTCTTTGCTTTTATATAATTCATATTGCATTTGACCATTTCATTTATGAAACTCAAGGAAGTTTTTATGTATCTAGTATTATAATATAATTTTGCACGTTAAAATCTCCAACAGGTTCAACACACATAAACTCATTAGGGGATTGATCCATATTTTAACAACACAATCAGGGTCAATAAGAGCATCCACATAGTTAAAAACAATAAAAATTACATGTCATGTACAAAATAGACCTTTGTGTAGAATGCAAGTGAAAATGAACTGAATCCAACTAAGGAGGCACTAAAAAAAGAGACCTGATATTGGTAGGGTGACAACTTTGGTTTTCAGGAATTAAGTTTATTCGCCAACCATGGAAAAGCTTTACAAGTTGAAATAACTTACAGAAATTTACAATTCACACAGTAATTTAAATTAACAAGAGAAGAACCATTTTTCTGGAGTTTGCAACTAACAAACAACACACTGAAGATGACCAAGAGATTATAAATTAAGCTCTTTCGATCACAAACAAGTTAAAACAGAAACTTACAAACAACTCATCAAGAGTGAACAGCAATATCCATGCATCTCTCTCCAATCAGCTTATTAGAGTTGAAAGCCTCATCAATATCTGCCCCTTGAGCCTGTTTCCTAGTTTTGCACGAAGCTGTACCATTATTTATATTGGTCTCCTTTCTGCTATTATACGAAGCCATTGGATAACTATGCGGAGCTTCCAGGTGTCCCCTGCCGAAGTTTTTTGCATCACTAAAGCTCTTTCTTCGGCCCAACTTTGGCGATTTTGCACGAGTCGGGGGTGCCTGATATTGTTTTATATGTAAGCGAATAGATAAGTTCTTTGTAAGCAATGATAACAGCAAAAGTTACTATGAGATCTAGCTAAATCGTGAAAAGCTCCGGGTTATATAGTCCATACATCCCTTTGTTTTACAATTTACAAACAGACCATTGAGATTTGCATAAACCAGAAAATTACCCCCCTCTTGAAGTACAATTTGTAAAAGAAACTCATGTCCAGTGATTTATTATAGTTGTTAGAGGACAGTTTTTGTTTAACAAAGCTAAACTCTAGGATAACTTTGTCATTCATTCTATTGTTTCAACATTACTTTCAAGTAATGTAGGTAATAATTGAACGTGAAATAAGCTCTCTCTCTCTCTCTCTCTCTCTCTCTCTCTCTCTCTCTCTGCATGTATATAAACATATATATCTCCTTTTTCTTTTTAGCCAACTAGATAATTCTTGGGCAATACCTTTTTAAGTTCAATCTTTGCTGGTGGACCATCATGATAGAAGCTTGGCATTGGGCTTGCCTTGAACATTAAACTCTTCCTTAGCTGCTTGATAGCAGCTTCTGCTTCTTCCTACAAAATTTTTGGAATCCAGATAAGTAAACACAAGTATTATGCATCTCAGACAAGAGCCTAAGTTGCTTTTAACAAACTATAGCTGCTGAAAAAAATTACATAGAGTGTAAATTACCTTGGTCCTTGCTTCATACTGCGTTTTCTCGGCCTCCAGTGCTTGTTGTTTCTCCTCTAACTTTAATAAAAACTAAACAACAACATAAAAAACATCATAAAAAAAATAAAAAATAAAAAAATTGAAAATATAGAATCCAAATTCACATAAATTGATTTGTGAGTATATGCAAGAAAACTAACTGAACACTACCTCCTTCCTTTTTTCAGCACGTTCGCTGCTCTTAAACACTGGTGCAGAAGCTAGAGTTGGCTTGAATTTCCTCGATGATGTCACATTCCTTCAGCCAGTAAAGGAAAATAAGAATAAGCTGTCAAAAAATTATAAAAAAAATACAAAAAGTAAAAAAATTATAAAAAAAATAAAAAAATTGGGAAATCACAGATAGCATACGATGAGGCCACTGAACAATTATCTTCATCAGAGTGCTTCTTGCTTTCAATTTGCAATGGTTTCTTTGCTGCAACAGGTGAGACTGTCTGCAGCAGAAAGGAGCTCCATATCAGTAATCAATTATCCCATGCAAGAAAGCAAACATGTAAAAGAGTGAGGTGAATATACTTTAGGTGGCCTAGAATCGAATAGATACCACATTCAAAAACTAAAAAAAGCCTCCCCAGATCAAGATATACTTTCTGATAAATTAACGGTTAAGACCTTTATTACAAAAATACACTACAGGGTCAGTCCAGTATATTCAAAGAAAGAAACAAAGAACAACTACCTTTCCAATTTTAAAAGTGCTCAAAGAGGGTCTTTTTTCAAAAAAAACTGACAGATAATTGCATCTCTTTTGTAATAGCGTAAACCTCACGGTTTTTTATGTTATCATCCCCAGAAGAAATTGTAGAAACAACATCACCATAACAAGAGTAAGCATAAAACACCAAAAGGTTGCTTTTTAAGGAAACATACTCGATTCTGCTTTGCGAAACTTGGGTGTAGGGAAAAACGAACATGGGCTGCCTTGTCTCCAGCAGTTGTATTGTCAGGTTCAGACCCATAAGCCCGGCCTGCACTCAAAGCCCGCTTTTCCGTAGCCAGAGCAAATGGCTGTGGGACTGTGCATTTCGTCTTACAATTCCCAACAATTGGTTTGCTGGCTTTCTTGGCACACGAACGTGTCTTCTTACTATCATCAACCGCCTTATGTCCTTCAGACATCAAACTTTCCTCACTAACCTTAACATTTTTTGGGCAACTTAAATCCTGCTCATTTGCTTCACTTTGACAAGGTTGTGAAACCTCAGCTGCTTTGTCATTGTTGATTTCCTTCACTTCACAGTCTTGAAATTCGGAGTTCTCGTCCGATATATCTACAGACTGTGGATAGAAACTCATAGGCTCAGGATCTTGGCCCGCAACTTGTGGGACAGCGTTTTTGTGATTTGGTTCATGGGTGATGCCATTTGAGTAGACAATGAAACCATCGTGCTCCTTGTCGATATGAACGTCGTTAACTTCAAACTCCATAACACTGTGACTAGATAGCCGATATAATAGTATTATTGCTAAGACGGTTGATTATGAAATAAACCCATGNAAAAAAAAAAAAACAGCGAAGGAGGTCTAAACGCTAATGGATGAACCTTCTATTAGAAACCAGCCAAAACTAATAATACATCACTACCAAACAGAATAACATACAAATGGAGGTCTAAACACTAATAGATCACTAACAAATGAAATTACAAACTGTAAGCTCTAAATAATTCTTTAAAGAAATAACATGGCACATCGACCATCTAAGGCCAAATTCAAAATTCACCGTGAAAAATAAGACTTTGTAAAATAATAATAATAACGAAGTGATTAAATCATGATAACGCATTAGAATATCTACACTAATATACGACAAAGATTAAGTACTGTTAATATCGGAAAATGACATATACCGACCCCAAAATTCAATTCCTGAGTCACAGTAATTAGCACTAATATCAGACTAATCCAGTTAAAATTCCAGAGACAAAGAAAACTTCAATCCGCTGAATCTTCACTCGGTAACCAGATTCTCTGGCAGTCAAATTATTCATATCAATCCTATTAATGTAGCTACAATTGTATGAGTTCACACACACACAAAAATATACCCAAAAAATGAAAAATTCCTAATGAAATTGGAAACTTATGAAAGTTTCTTACGGATATATCCAAGTTCTGTGAGAGATTCTTCTTAGCTTTGATTCTGTGCTGGCGTTATGGAGAGCTTTCTTTTTGAACTCAGTGTGTATTGTGCTGCCTGCTTCTGTTGCAGAGTTATAGAGAGGGGAACTTAAAATAACGGCGTTAGTTGACGGTGGTTGAGAAATTTTTGGAGTAGCGGAAAGTTTAATAAACAAGAATAGTAGGATAAGATGGAGCCATAAAGTGCAAGATGTGATTAAAACTTATACTTTTGTCGTCTTAATTTTATATTCCTAGGTTTTTTCTATATTCATTAATTCATGTCTCTTTTTCTGATAATGACAAGAGATGTATTAAGAAAATAATATAAGTACATTAAATTATGCTATTGTTGTATTTAGTGTTGAGGATTAACAAACTGAGTTAAATAATTGAATCCTACCAAAAAGAAATTTGATATTGATATTGATATTGTTTAATTGATCACTTGACTATTTGCAAATTGAATCCTACCAAAAAGTTAATCATCGAGAATCAAACTAAATCGAATAGAATTGAAAAAATTGTACCTAATTAATGAGGAGCCGAAAAAGAAAATAACCGATTTCAACCCATAATAAATTTATATGGATATAATTTTTTATTTTATGTTTATTTTATACATATATAATTATTTTAACATTGCAAAAATTAAATAAGATTATATAAGAAATCCACAATAACACAATTAAAGCTTCATAGAAATACAATATTTACTAATAATGTGCTTTCATATTAATAAAAAATATTTACTTTTGATTATTTGATTACACATTAACTTAATTGCATCACTATTTTAATAGTTGGCCTTCATATTTCTAACAATCTCAATTATAGCATGTTTGTTTATATAATAATTCATTCATATTCAATTCATACTCAATATTTAACTCAATTTTAACTCATTCACTATCCACAATATTATCAATTATCACAATAATTAATTATACAAACCAATCATTCTTAGACATCCGTCAACTTTAATTTATTATTCATTCATCCTCTCACATAATTTAACTATCACTTCACATCATTTCACTTATATTTTTGCATTAAATCAACTTTAATAATTCAATTTTAAATATTATTTTAATATCAAATTAAAATTCCACTACAACTAACCATCTAACTTTTTCAAAATTAACTCTGATTAATCGAAAAAACTTATTTTAAGCTGATTCATTTATAAACAAGCACACCCTTAATAATCTTAATTCAAATCAGGAGGTAGTCAAAAAATGATGAACATGGTTTGAGTGCAACTATACATATACATATATACCCCAGGTTTATTTATTCATCTATTAATTAAAAGAACCCATTACTTATATATCTCACTTTTCTCCACTCACATTAAAAAAATTAAATTAAAAAACAATTACTACAAAATTTTGTAGTAAATTTATCATTCACTCAACTATCGACTATTTTATTTTATAAGGATGCTTGTGCGAGATTCGTGTTGGAGTTGGTGTTTGAGCAGGTTTCTTGATCAATATGAAAGTTAAAAATTACTTTTTATTTCATAAATTGTTGGGCCTTATGAGTTATGATGATTGATACCCCAAACTTGTTTTGTCATTTTGATCTTGTATTTGAAATTATTGTTTGTCCAATTAAACATACACATCACTTTTGATTATCATTATGTTAAACAGTAGTGTCAAATAACTTTATTCAAGGTTTGTTAGCTCTTTTGATCATGTATTTGGAAATTGGAATTATGGTTTGTGAAGCTTTGGCAATTGTACTTTCTTGAATAGTTATGTTGGGTCATGTATTATATTGATTTTCTTATGGAATGTATAAGTGGTAAATTCTTTATTTAATTTTAAGGGTTTAACTTCATTGGAAAACACAAATAAACTCTGAAAACTTTAATTTGTATTTGGATCTTATTAACCAAAGAGATACGACTTTGCACGATAGTGAGCTCAGCACCAATCAGGAATGTCCACGGCATTTCAAGAATTCTTGTTATACGCTCGTTCCAGCCTTCAACCCTCTTTTCTAGATTCATCGATATTGAATCAATCGAACGCACTTCTACCACCTGTTCGACTTTTGAAAGTCCCTGGGTTATATCACCAGTCTCAATTTATATATATATATATATATATATATATATATTTCTGCACAACTATTTCTTTCAATAATTAAAAAGTAACATCTCCATATATAGCATCTCCTTTTGACCCCGTCATGTGAATTGCTTAATAATTGTTAGCTTCATTTGGAAAAAAAAGTGCATATTGATAATTAACTTACATGGTTAGCATTGTACAGCTAATGATAAATATTTGACAGTCTAACTATGAAGGGTTAGATTGTCAAAACGATGTTTAAGTCTCAACCTTTAGAGCAAATCTTAATTAGGGATAGCCAAGTTGGTTTAGGACATGAGGACCCATCTTTGAATACTAATTGCTAACCCTTTTGATAATGGCCTCATACCTTCTAACTATTCCCAAATTTTTCTTTATTTATTCCTATTTAAGTTTATTTTTTATTTTCCTGCTTTGCCTTTGTTTTTTCTTTTCTTTATCTAGGGTACCACGTCTACCAAACCCATCAACTAAAACAACTATCCATTGCTTTGTAATCCTTCCAATACTAGTCTGTCCAAATTATGAACAAAAATTAGAATACACCATGAAATATGTATATAGAGAGGCAGGAGTGGTTCCAATGAGGCATGAAAACGTAAAGATTAGTTACAACCATCCATATATAGAAGTTTAAAAACCTGAGTATGATCCAGTTTTACTTGTTTTTTTATAGCTAAATATTTAATTTGGGTTGAACTAAATTATATAGAAAAATTCTACGTTCTTAGTAGATACTTGAGCTATAAAAAAATTTGGATTGAAAATTCTATATTCTGAATTACCTCTCTATGTTTAAGATATAACGTTCATTAATTAATTATTTAAATTACTGACAATTTAATTTATCAATTTCTCTATCTGAAATTAGTACCAATCATTTTTTAATTATTATGTAAAAAATTAATCTGTCTGCAGGGCTTAACATAAAAAACCTTCCTGAGCTCATTTCATCAATCTGGCAGACCGGGCATAGTAACCGTAAATAATTTTGACGGCACATTAGTAAACAACATTACTTACCATAATACTGAATATGTCAACCTAATTAAAATGGGTATCACCCTTGATAAATCAAACAAGTAAGTGATGAGTACATATGCTCATTTATTGTCTTACGGGTTAAGAGAGCGCATCCATTTTTTAGGTCTAAATTATTTACTTGGCCAGTATAAAATAATCTTATCCTCCGTATATCCATTCAATACACCCAAGAAGTACTAGTATAAGTCATCAGCTAAAGATCAACTTAATCAAAATTACACTACAACATTTCTCAACAGGCTCCATCTAGGTTGTGAATCATTTTATTTATATTTTACAAAGAACTAATAATATGATCTTTCTGTTCGACACATCAAACCATATTATTATACAATGTAAAATAAAAGAACTAATGTTCGCATAAATATATAAATTGCAAACACAATATTTGACTAAAACATAATTCGTATTTTAAATGATATTGTTAGAAAACTGAAAGCCGAGCTTATATAGTATACCCTGACAGTAAGCTGGTAACCATGACCTCCCCAATCTTCTCGCCCATTGGATATTTGACTGTCATATGGTATGTTGACAGTACTTCCTGAAAAGCATTCAGGCTCGTCCTCCCAAGAATGATATTATACAATGACTCTGCTCTGACCACCACAAACCTCACCATTTTCACCTTTCTGGTTGAACATGTCCCCAATGCCACCAGCAAGGTCGCCTCACCTATAGGTACGACCTCATTTCCATTAAAACCGTATAGGGACGCGACCACTTCCTTCAGCTCGATATCCAAGTTCAATTGTCTAAAGCAATCGTAAAACATAACGTTCACTTAACTCCCCGTATCAATAAAGATCCTCTTCACATCGTAGCCAGCAATCTCCGTCGTAATCACTAGGGCATCATTGTGTGGTACGTGAATCCCCTCTGCATCCTCAGCTCGAAAGCTGATCACATGCATTCGGGTTGTGATTTCGACCTTTTCCCGCTTCCTCTTTGCAACCTGAGTATGCTCATTCCTAGTATTGTTATAATCTCCATTGATTGGGCCTCCTGAAATCATATAGATGGTGCCTTTCTTAGCCGGGGCCTGGTCCGGGTCTTCCTCATTGTATTGACCACCCCTTTCTTGACCTTTTGTTTCCTCCCCTTCTGCCTCATCTGTCTTCCCCCTCCTCTCTATCCTCATCCTCGTCCTTATCGCTCTTATCTACCAAATCTTCTCAACACCTCATATTCTCCTCATCTTCTCCTTATCGTGATATAAAACTCATTTGAATGTCCGACTCGAATTAGACGCTCGATCTCGTCTTTCAGGTGCCTACAATTTTCCTTGTGTGCCCGGAGTTTTTATGGAATTTACAGTATCGACCGGACTTTGGCTGTGTTGATCTTTTTCTCCTTGATATCGGCCAAGTTATTGCTCGATTGTCAATCCTACGCTCGATTGCCTCAAGCACCTACCCCAACTAGCCCTTCAGTGGTGTATATTTAACAAATCTTTGACCGTTTTTGAGTGGTCTATCATGCCTGGGAAAATAAGCCCTCTCTTTCTTTGGCTCAGGTCAAGCCAGTTGTTCCAACTTACCAAATTCCTCCTTAGTCTCTTCCAGGTTGACGTACTTCTTTCATCATTTGAGAACCTGATCATAGGTATGAGCTGACGTCTCAGCTAGAGAGCTTTGACAAGGTCTAGCCCACACAAAATTTTGAAAGTAAGATTATATGCATATTATAGAAAGAAGATAACCAATAGATTTGTATATTTAATATATTAAATATTGGAATATATATGGTAATCCGAACCTAAGCTATTTGATATAAAAAAATTAGTATATTTTATCCCAACCATATTACAAAGCATGATATTTTGCCATGTAGATTACGAAGCGTATGAAGCTGCCACTTAGGCTCAACGTGTTCTGAAATAATATATAAGGGGGAAGGGGGAAGGGGGATATATATATATGTGTGTGTATATATATATATATATATAATACTATAAAATATGCATATAGATGCAAAAAATATTTACAATATATTAGTAATTAATACTTATTGTCTATGCTATTCTAATTTAAATTAA